GGGACACAGCTCCCTTGAGCAGGCATATCCTCAAGAGCTGAATGTAACATCACACTGTAAGTATATACCCGTATTACAGCTACCAGTACACACTAAGAGTCCCAGTTACAGAGGACTTGAAAGCTGTGGAGAGAGATCTCATATCGCACAACCCTCTGCATAAGATGCTCAGTTGCAGACCCTCTTGTGTTTCTTTTCAACCATGTTCTAATGCCCATTTTAAAAAACACCATCTGCAAAAGCAATAAACATAGGAAAGCTGAATAGATTTCATGCTGCCTTTTTTTTGCCTTTTTTTTAATGCTTAATGGTTTCAACACTTGTATTTTGAAACCAGGTCTTTAGTGCATGCAAGGTTTTCTGCCTGTAAAGAATAGTTGTTTGAAGTGAAAACACTGAAACAACTTGAAACACTGCTCCCTGGTCTGCTTGATCTAGGACAAATTTCCCTGTGTTTCAATAATAGTTATCTCTGCTCCTGGCAGTTTAAAATGTCAGTTAACTGAAGATAAGTCCCATTAGATAGGACAGACACTGGGTTCTCCTGACTATTTGGCTCTTGTTGAAATGTACCTGTAATTGTTTGCAAGGTAACTACTGTTAAAAGCAGGGTATACTGTCATTGGGTGGAAACAGAAATGTTTTATAAACAAAAAAAAAAATTGTCTTTTTAATTCAGTCATTCCCTGCAATTCCAACTCTGATCTATCTAGTTTTATTCCATAACATACTGAACAAACATTACTGAAAAAACTCGTATCAAGACCCCATCAGCAAGGACTAGATTTTTTTCCATATGGAATAAATATTGGTATCATTTTCCAGATGGCTTTGCTTACTTTCAGTTCTAAATATGAAAACACTGCAAACAGAAACAGGCACAGAAGAGTTACAGAATCCTGTTACAGTCAAAACCTGGACACAAATGCAACACCATAAGGCAAACAGGTTTGGACTCAAAATGAAATTCCAAAATTCCAACTGCTATAGGAAGCAGCTGCTAAACTCAAAACACATCACTGCATTTTCATCAAACCTCAGGGCATGGGGTTTTTGTTGTTGTTGTTAAAAGTTTTCACAGAAAATCAATTTGCCATTTTGACAGCCCTAATACGTGAAGGCAAAAGAGCAACTGCAAGCATTGAAAGGCTACTTCCCACTCCCAAACAAACAAGAACAACTATGTTCCTGAAACCCAGCCAAGCAGCTGTATTTCAAAAAGCTTCTGCTCCATTCCTAATTTGGAAATAAAGGAGGCTGCTTTGTAATGTATTATTTGCACTACCCCAATAATCTAGAAACCAGATCATGTGCTAGTTCACACAAAAACTTAGCTTGTAATTTGGCAGTCTAGACTGCATCATCACATATTAAGCTGTTATATTAACAGACCTTTGCTTCATGGGAGTAAGGTGCCAGTGAAATATGCAAGCAAGACAAAAACTACATTACATGAAAGGAAAGGAAAGGAAGAGTTTCGGCTTCAAACTGCTCTCTGGCCGTTCGTACCTCATGCAACATGAGGCAATTTATAGACTGATCAGTCAGGCTACCTATAGCTCAGGACAAATGAATTTGGTAGATCGTTCTCAGTTAGGAGTTCAGTTCTGACAGATACTCAGTGGCAAGGAAGATGTCTTCAACTATACCACACTCCTCTGTTTTTACAGTGCTGTTTTTACTCCAACAGAAGTATCCCCTGTTTGAACACACACTTCTGTTTTCATCAGGCTTGAGAAAGCCATAAGAAGGGAGAAAGAAACTGCTCCTTCTCGTATAAAGACTTGTTTCACTTTCATCGCTCTTGTGTAGTTAGAAAATATATGGAGGAAGGACAGAGGGACAAAGTTATTACAGAAAGAATATTTAAATAAACTTACCAGTAGAGAAAACAAGAACTGTGTTGTCCCAAAGACCGTATCTTTTCAGAGCATCAGTGAGATTTCCTACAGCTTCATCCATAAGAGTCACCATCCCTGCATAACGGCGCCTCTTCACATCCTTAATGGAAGAATATGGTTTCATGTATTCTTCAGGGACCTCGAGAGGTTCGTGGACAGACTGAAAAGCGAGGTAGAGAAAGAGGGGCTGGGGTGGAAGGGATAGAATGGAAATCAGTTGAACATAAAATCTTAAATGCAAAAGTTACTGCAGCAAAAGCAGCCCTGAGTTTTGATTTCTGCTACACTTCTCTCTTCTAATCCCTAAGCAGAAACTAGTAAAACCTTGATAAAGGACTTTTGCAAAGCTGTGGAAAAACAGGTGTAACTTTCAGTTTCTTTCTATGAAACCTCTCCCATTAAACTTTCCATTCTCTTTTTAGAGTCAACTATGTGCTTAATCATTTCTATAAATTTATTACTTGCATTATTAAAAAATAAATAAAGAAGAGTAGCAGGCCAGGGCTCCACAGCCAAAGCCAATTCTGACAGCAGACAACACAAGTTTCACCTGCACTACTTCTCACATTTACCTCTACACACCCTGACGGAAAGCCCCAAATTATAGCTCAAGTGCAGGTCTCTCTAATATTTCACCAACATTTTTTTAAACATTCTTTAGTGCTACAGTTACCAAAGCAATAGCTGCTGACTGTACCTTCTCAGTTTTATGATTGGCTATGAGATCTATTGCCCTTTCTGTGAATAGATTAGTAGAGTACATGTTTTTAAACCCAGTTGCAACTTCTTCTCCATCTCGAAAGTCCAGAGCACAGCGTGTTACATTCTTTGCTTTGATGAGGACGCAACGGTCATGAGAATAATAATCCTCACTCCCCAGAAGATAGCCTAGAACAGGAAAAGATGTTGAGTAAGCGGGCCAACATAATGTCATATAAACAGATACATCAGGGGAAAACAAAGTCAAAAATAAATGTCAAAACTTCAGTGGTTTTGAGCTGAAATACTCATCCAACATTTGACCATCTGTAGTGACATCCCTTGATGGGTCTAAGTAGCTCAACACTTAATATTTTATAGACTTTTTATTGCTAATGCAAGTAGTAATTTCAAAACATGAAACATTGTGAAAGCAGTTCAGTGACTCTATATTCAGAATTTGATACCAAATACACTAGCACTAAACTAATGCACTGATTGCAAAGGCAGTGACCTGTCTGTGCACTACCTTGATTTTTTAGCTAGTACGATTTTGTTTATTTGTATTTTCCCATGACTTCACTCTCTATTAGAAAGCTTGGATTCTTTTTATTTATTCAGAAACATCCAAGTATGAAGCATTTTTTATGTCAGCTATAAAGCAACTTCTGATCCACTGCTGACACCAACTGGTGAAAAAAGACACTATTATTTAAAGATACCCAATAGAAACTGCAAAAAATCTAGAGGTGTAGATTTGCTCCTGTCAAGGGCTATCTGTTAGCACTGAGTGCCTTTGCCTTTTATCAACCAGAAAAAAGTATCTTCAAAAATTTTTGGATCTCAGTAATTATTGCTTTGAAAATTAGATTTCAGACTTTTTTCCCCAATACCATGAAAAAACAGATGAATCTGCAAAAAATATATTCTGAAGTTCTGCAAAACCAAACGAAAATTGTGGACAATAACCCAAAACAGAGCACCTTCACTTGAATGCACAGCTTGAAGCTTCAACTTGTGCAACAAATTATGAACAGAAAGAAGTTCTGTTTTAAATACTATATAAACTTCTAATATATTTTTAGGAGGAAAAAAATGGCTTTTGTTTCAAAGCAGATGGAGAGATTTTGTGGGCAGGCTGCTTATATCAATGTACTCGGAGCCGCAAGTTGCATTTTTCCACTGTGAGTGCCCAGTGGGGGAGACACCACCTCAAGCTTGCTGAAGAATCAAATGCCCATTACTTGCAATCAACACTTACTGGAATTACATTAACATTATAGGATATCAAACTGTTATGTTCTCTGAAAAATACTGTCGTGCTGGGCATCCAACGGCCATGCCCAGAGCCAGCCTGTATTCAGACCCCTGCATCAAGAGCCTGCTGAGTCCCAGGGTGAGATTTCATGGGGAGCACCAGTCTACCTACATCAATGCTGTCAAAAAGACCCCAAGCTCCTGCAAAGGGGTGGGAGCAAGCACGTGTGTTTAAGCAATTGAGACGTTATATTACAATCCATATATATTAGCTTAAATCAGTTCACGGCCTCAAGGTCTCTGAAGAGTCAAGGATTGTTTAATCCAAGGGTACAGTTTGCCCACCTAAAGTTTGGATTGCCACTGCCTGTAATCGGCACGTGGCACAGTCCAGCTCCTCATTTAGTACCTAGAGTTAGACAAGAGGAATGTGGATTCCAGCTTAAGTTTCTCTGTATCCTACTTTCTCAGTTGTAGAAGTGGGCAGCAGTACTATCAACAACTTGCCAAGTCAATTTTGAAGACAGTGAACTGTTTTGAAATTCTCCATTCGATGGAAGTGTCTTAAAAAAAACCCACGAAGTGGAGGTGTACAACTTTGCATTCAGAACCATGCAGAACGAGATGTACTGCAAGCAGCCTGACTCATGAAACATCTGCAGCACTTGTGCAAACTAATAAACATTCAATCAATACTGGGACATGAGCCCTTGCGAGAGGAAGGATAAACAACATGTAGCTACAAGTTGCTTTGTAATACAAATCACACTTGGACAGTCCAATTCCAGCATTATGTATTTAACCTCAGGGTTTGACTTCGTAACTTGAGATTTCCTGCAACAGACCTTTACGATACTGTTTTATAGAGGCTCTCACACCATTTTCCTTGCCACTGGCTCTGGAAAACCAATGCTACCCTATTCACAAAGCATGAACACAGGGTGGTATGATGTCTCTCTTAAAACATCTGCTTTTTATTCGCATAGCAAGCAGTATCTACTGCCTGATCTACCCCAAAACATTCAGATCAAAGATACTTATAAAAACGAACTAATCACTACACCTTAAATCTTCTAACCCTCACAGAAACAAATTAAACACAGGTAATAAGAAATACTTTCTTTGGAGCCACTCAATTGTTATGACATTTTCTTCAACAAGCCGTAAGGCTTGGGCATGCATTTAAGGCACTATTTTATTTTAAGCGGTTAATAATCTGGAAACATGAATGCCCAGGTATTGATTTACTTATACAGTAAAAGTAAATCTGCTGTATTTAGAAGAATTGGACAGTTTCTCATCATTTTTAACACCACATTTGTTGCCCATGTTAAATCTAAACATTACCAAAGTAAGTATCAAATCCTCTGCGGGTTGGAAGGCACTCTTTTCTGTACATCCCTAAATGCCACTTTCCCACCATGTGAGTAACGTATCCGGCTTCCTGAAGTAGCTCTGGGAGGAGTTTCTCATCCAGTGGCAAGCAGCTGGGCTGGCATGGCCAGATTATCTGGTGTTGTAAACCTGTGTGGATCTAGCAGGGAAAAGAAGGATGCGAGATTAGTTACAATACAGCAACACATTCCCAGAGGCTACTTTAGAAGCAGATGCAAAAAGTAACAAAGCTCTGCCAGAGGCTAGTATTAGTTTTAGGGCCTCCTGTCTTTACCGATGTAGCACGTTCTGAATCACAGAACGGTTTGGGTGGGAAGGGACCTTAAAGACCATCTAGTTCCAACCCCCCTGCCATGGGCAGGGACACCCTCCACCAGACCAGGTTGCTCAAAGCCTCATCCAGCCTGGCCTTGAACACTTGCAGGGATGGGGCACACACAAGAGAGAAAGGAAGATGAGGAAGCCACAGGGGGGACAGTAAGGAGAGTATGGAGAAAGACAAGGAAATAACACGGCAGGGGTTAAATCTAGTGCAATTAAAAAAAAAAACAAACCTCTTGCATTTTCATCTACAGATCCAACAGGTATCAATTATCATTATGGTCTCTCTGAAGGCTAGGGATAACATCTCAACATGGAGTGAGAGATGTGAAATGGGATGGAGATAGGCAAAATGATGCATGACAGGTAAAGCTACTGAGCTTTATCCCTGTACCTAAGAACAGTCACTGGAGGAAAAGGTGACAAAGGTTAAGAGAAAACTTTCCGCATTATTATTCTAAACCACATCATATGTTTATTTACATGCTTAATGTGAATGTGAGCACTCTTACAAAAAAAAGCATTTGAATACTGGGGATAACAGAAGTTTTAGACACTGCCTAGATATGACCTCTAATAGTTCCACAAAGTTTCCAGTCTTACCAAGTGGTGAATTCTGTATCTCTATAAAAAAATAAGACTCAACAATACTCTGAGTATCACACTTTGCTTGAGGCAAGAAACCTTTTTTGTTACTGTGTACTAGAAGTTGACATTCGTTAACTCCAGGAAAAAAAACAATGCACTACCTACTTAGGCCACATACAAGTATAAATATTTTATTTACTAAGTATTTCTAGTAATCTGAAATACTCTCTGTCAAAGCACAAAACCTCCAACACCCAAGAGCATGAGACAGCAGATTTTGTAACTCTACTAAGCACTCCAATGCAGCACACTATATGATTAATTTTTAAAGCATCACTCTAGCAACACTTTGAACTCATTTTTAAACCAAATAAGCTCTGGTCTTAGGGAAGTGGGTAAGTAGACTTTCACAAAGGGCCTAACAGTTACTGATTTTCTTTGAAACAGGAGCTGTAAAAAATGTTTATTTTTTTTAAATGAAGTATTACAAGAATATTATTAATACAATAAAAAACACGGGCTAGCAAAGCATTGTAATTTCTTCCATTGTCTCTAGAAAGCAAGAAAAAGGAGAGGAAAATAATGATAATTTAAAAAAATCTATAGCTTTATTTCATAAACCAGTGCCTTTGCTCTTCTTTCTTCATGGGCAGCAAGATGACTATCAAAATTCCAGTTACAGATAAGGCCAGATTTAGATTACTTTTTCAAACCTCTGAGAAACTGTTAATTATACCAACGGGTAAAACAAAATAAAATCCCCCATATTTGCTGCATAATTATTTCAGGAACAGGTTGCCCAGAGAAGCTGTGGATGCCCCATCCCTGGTAGTGTTCAAGGCCAGGCTGGATGAGGCTTTGAGCAACCTGGTCTAGTGGAAGGTGTCCCTACCCATGGCAGGGGGGTTGGGTCTTTAAGGTCCCGTCCAACCCAAACCATTCTGTGATTCTATGATTCTTGCACACAATGTTTCCTCAGTTTTACAGAAAAAAACACTTCCGTTTTCTAATATTTTTTTAGTCATTTCTAACAAGGTCAACACAAGTATAATCAAATTATCAATTCAGATGCATATGATGAATTTAGATCAGGACTGAACTATGAGCTTTTCCAGTTTCCACTTTAAAGATGAGACGCAGCACTGTCCAGTTAATCCTGACCTAGTTGTAGAGAAATGTGTTCAGAGTATGAACTGTATTCTAGAAATAGTCAAAACAAACAGAAAGTTTTAGGTTATTTACATAAAACATTTTAAAGAGGTGGTTAAAAAAAAAAGTCAGTTGCATCCTCCTATTCCTTATTATTAGAAAGAGAACAAACGTTTCTTGGAAAGAGTAAGCATCACCTAGAACAACCTTCTTGCAACAAGAGAGAACATCTATTGATAAGAGGATGGCATTTATTTTCATTCTGAACCGTTTGACACATCACCATGGTTAACATGCATGTGCAGGAGTTTCTGCGAGAGGGGAATTTTCTGAAATACGCTTAACCCTCTGAATTTCTCATTTCTATCCATGCTCTGTTCTTCCTTCCCCCCCACCCCTCCACCCCCGGCTTGTTTTCGTCAAAGTTGCAATTCAAAGGGAAGGCAGGGGTAAGTACAGCAGTGTGATGGAGTCCCATTCTTACACCTGTGCAACTAAAAAAAACGGGGAAAATCTCGACTAGGCCTAGGAAGCAGCTAGACACCCCGACTAAGGACCAGCCTGTGCGCACTCCATCGAGGGGAGCATTAACGTTACCACAGGAAGAGGAATGTAGAGGAACACCAGCTGCACAAACCAAGCATGGAGCGCTAATCTGCCTCTGGCGGCATCCCGGACGCGTACCCGTGCGCTTTAGAAGTACGTGACAGCAGATGACAGCGACAGGAGTATTTTTCACGACATGCTGCCGTGCCTGTTAATACACCTGAAGCGTAGGGAGCACCT